GCTGAACAAGCCCAGTTCCCTCAGCCTTTCCTCATAGGGGAGCTGCTCCAGCCCTCCATAGAATGGCTTGAGTTGGAAGGGACCTCGAGGATCAAAGTCTTGTCTCCATGAGTGTTGTAGCAGATGGTTGCTGGAGCTACATATTGCAGCTTTGCTTTTTAACTTGAATTCTGGGGCTGGTAGTAATCAAACTGGAATTTATTCCGAATGAAGGACTGAATTCCTGTTCCACAAGAAGATCCTCTGCATGCAGATCATGTTGCTTTTATTTTTGCCAAACCGACTTTGTCCCCTTGTCCCATGGGAGGTGTGGCTGGGTGATGTCCCTCCCTAACATCTCAGTTATTTGTTTCCCTGCCCGTGGTCTGAGTGCAGTGCAGTGTGTTATTTCAAATCCTGTTGCCTTGATATTAAATGTCTGTTTTCTGCTCCCCCCCTTAGGAAATTTTACCTGGGTTATTTTTAGGCCCATACTCTTCAGCTATGAAAAGCAAGGTATGATTTTCAGAACAGTATCTCCGCAGGGAGCTTTGCCGTGGCGATGCGTCCGAGTGTGTGTGTATCTGTGGAGGTACACGTTGGGTTGCAGCATTCATGCAGCCCTGTGGCACCTTCCCTGCAGGGTGCAGGCAGCACGTGGTGCATTTATGGGCTGCTTTCTTAGCCCTGGGGGCTGGTATCGATTCCTTCCTCTTTCCAGAGAAGGTCTGAACGCTGCAGCCATGCAGACACTTGCAGAAGCTGCATTTATTTAACGATCCTGAGAGCTAATGGGGTGGGGGGAGGTGGAAATAATTTCAAGGGAAACAAAAAGGGGGGCACAAACAAGTTCCCTGAGCACCTTTATTGCCTGCTCCTTTATCATTGTTAGAAATGCTTTTCTTGCAAATTCTAACCTTTGTGGTGTTTTCTCTTTTTAAACACACACGTATCCCCATTTTGTTTCACACCACGCTTTGGACGTTAGAAAAGCAGCTCTGATTTCCCTTGAGGACTTGGTGTCACTCGTTATGTATTAAAGTATGACTTTTCTTTTAATGGCCGTGTAATGGGTGGATTCAGCAGCCTAAAACAAAAATCTCTTTTCCTTTTTTTGCAGCTACCTATACTTCAGAAGCATGGAATAACCCATGTAATATGCATACGGCAAAACATCGAAGCCAATTTTATTAAACCAAACTTCCAGCAGCTATTTAGGTGAGAAACAAACGTGATGTGCTGACCTGAAAGCAGTTGATAGTCTGATTTTAAACACCTTATTCTGCATTGATAAGATTGTGTGTGTGTGTGTGTGTGTGTGCGTGTGTGTTCTTTGCAATGGTTTGAGCCATGTGGGCTATCCTGCTGTCCTGCAGGTTGCAGTGTTACTGTGTGCTCACGCACTGGAACACTGTATGCTCAGTGACTGTTCTCGTTGCAGGTATTTAGTCCTGGATATTGCAGATAATCCAGTTGAGAATATAATACGATTTTTCCCTATGGTAAGTGTTGGTTAATGGGAGTGGGTTGGGAATAGGGCTGCCCAGTAAGATCGTTATGAACCAACACATGCATGGTTTCAGATGTGGGGAACCCAGCCTGAGGCAGGTGAAGGGCTTTTAAGTGGCCTCTTATTGCCCCTGCAGCAAGTGTGATCAGCTTGTTCCTACAGGTAGAGAAATGAAGGTGGAATTACAAGAGCTGTACCTTGTGATGGCCCCAAAAGAAGACAGTTCATGGGAGAATAATAGTTATTTTGGAAACCCTTGTCCTAAAGGAAACTGGTATCCTGGGCTCCATCAGCAGAGGGGTGGCCAGCATGGACAGGGAGGGAGGATTGTCCCTCTCTACTCTGCCCTCATGAGGCCCCTCTGCAGTACTGTGTCCAGGTCTGGAGCCCCCAGGACAAGAAAGACAGGGAGCTGTGGATGCCCCATCCATCCCTGGAGGTGTTCAAGGCCAGGTTGGATGGGGCTGTGAGCAACCTGTTCTAAAGGGAGGAGTCCCTGCCTGTAGCAGGGAGTTGGAGCTTCATGATCCTTGCGGTCCCTTCCAATCCAAACCATTCTATGGTTCTGTGCTTTACTGCTACTTGGAATCTTCCCCACAATAAAAAATGCAGCTTTTGCTGTTCATTCGGTGAACTGTTTCAACCTGGTACTATTCTGCAGGCCTCACTGGATCATGTCATGCCTTATTAGATTGCTTAGAGCTGCTTTTGTAATTGAAAATGTCGTTGGAGAGCCTTAGGGGGACACAGGCAACAGCAGTGCGGTCCAGGCCATGCTGGTGTTGATGCTTGTGGTTTCTCCTTGCCCCACAATGTCCACCAAAGATGTCTGGAAGGTGCTTTGTATCACAGTGCCCTAACATGCCTTGCTGCAACTCACTGACTGTTTTATGGGTGATGAGAAGCTGTAGTTCAAATCAAAATGCTCAGCTGAACTGAAGTCTAAGCCTGCGGAAATAAATCGAATGGTTGTTGCTGTGTGTGAAGAGCAAGGCAGCAAATTCTGCAAGCAGTTGGAACATCTGTAAGAAATCCAAAAGTTTGAGTCTTTTGATGGTTGTTTTTTTTTTCCTCTCTTTTTAGACTAAAGAATTTATTGATGGAAGTTTACAAAGTGGAGGTAAATCAGACTGACTTTTCCCTTTATTGACCAGTACATTGCTCTTAAAGCTTTAAAGCCTTGAAGATGTGTGTGGTAGATGCTCTTAAATATGAAGCTTTCTTAAATTTAGGGGGGTGTAATTTTGTTTGACTTGAACTGGATTACACAAACTCAGAGTCAGCTGTTCTTCTCCTCTTTTGATTCCAACTGCAAAACAAACCTCTTCATACATCTTTCCTTCATTTGAGACGTGTGTGTTCCCCAATGGAGAGCTTAAATCTGCACTGTGGTCCCAGGATGCTGATCCTGTTACTCAAAACCCTCAGAGGAGTGAGGATCCACGTTTCTGTGTCCCAGAGTATTGATGCACAGAGTGCAGTCAGGAGCAGACTGAGGTGTAACACACTGCTGCTATTCTTATGTTGTACTTTGCTGATGTGTAGTTGCTCATAACAAGTTAAAACGACGTCTCAAAGAGCTTCCATTTGTACAAGTGTGGTTTGGGGTTTTTTCTTCCTCAGGAAAAGTTCTTGTCCATGGAAACGCAGGGATTTCTAGAAGGTAGGAAAACATCCATCCTGCTTATTATCATTTTACTCCATTGGAATATATTTCAGTGACTTAGAAAAATGTGCTTTTATTTTTGTTTCAGTGCTGCCTTAGTTATTGCATACATAATGGAAACGTTTGGCGTCAAGTACAGGTGAGAGCAGGGTTTGTACAGTCGATGGTCCGTCCCATAGGGCAGAAGTAAGAGGGTACTTAAGAACAGAGAAGCAGTCTGATATATCTGTAGGTGTAACAGTTTTAATTCACGTGAATTGCAGTGGATAATAATCTTGGGGGCAATGCACAGTGCTGTATTGCCATATGAGCCAGTCGTTACCCCTGAGGCTGGGTGAAGTCTTTCACATGGGGAAGACGATTCCATCTCCAGGTTTGCTTTCGCCCTTCCATGAAGAAGCAGGCACCTTCTGCTCATGGCAGCCCACACAGACCGGTGCCTGGCTGTCACACTCTGTAAGAGGGACCCGTGTTTTAAGACATGTTTTAAGCTGCATGTTGAAAACATGCCAGCAAGTAGAAGGCTGGAGGTTGGGGTGGGCAAAGAGTGTGCTACAACTGCTGCCATCTGTTCTGCCCAGAAACCTTCAGCTAAGCAAAGCAGTTCTGAGCAGGCTGTGTACTTCCCAGAACTGGTAACCTAAACTCCTGAAGCCCCACAAATCTGTCACAGTCTGTTTTCCACTCAAGTATTTTCTGTCTCCTTCTCTTGTTTAGGGATGCGTTTACTTACGTTCAAGAAAGAAGGTTCTGTATTAATCCTAATGCTGGATTTGTCCATCAACTTCAGGTGATGCTTTGTTCTTATTTCTT